GCTGAGCAACCTGATCCTCTTGCGAGCATTTCCCTGAGATCTGCCGAGGAGGAGGAGGAGATAATCTCCGTGGCTGCACCAGCTCCTCCCAGCTGCCTCCCAGGGACCCGAGCTAAATTGCTTTGTTCTGGGGGTTTAGGCTCTCGTGGCTGGGATTAGGCACTCACCATGTCTGTGGTCAGGGCACCCTGTGCCTGTCTGCAGGAACTGCAGAGGAGCCTGGCACTGTGGCCAGGGTGGGAAAGGATGGAGCCAGCCAGTGCTGGGTGTGAAGAGCAGAGGCTGCTTTCTGGATTTCTGAGAGGGAGCAAAATGCAACTTCTGGTGCAGCTCTGGGTGCTGTGAGCTGATTCTGCCCCCTCCTGCAAGGGGCAGGAAGATCAGGATGGTGGCATTGGCACCAGGACTGCAGAGATGGATAATCCCCTCCTGCATGGGCTTATGTGTGGGGCAGGAAGATCAGGATGGTGGCATTGGCACCATCAGGATTGCAGAGATGGATAATCCCCTCCTGCATGCTCTGCCCAGGCAGTGTGAACCATTCTTGCCAACCTGCAGGCAGGGTTCTTTATAACTTCCCCTCTCAGTCACAAATCAGAAATCAGCTCCCCTCTGCGCCCATGATCTGCAAACAGCCCCTACCCCCAAATCCTGACAGAACCTCCAGAGGAGAAGCTGAGGCAGGACTTGGCACCCACAGCTGCCAGCACCCCCTGCCCTCCCCCTGAGTGCAGCTTTTAACTGGGCACTGAGTCCTGTTCCTGAATCAGACCATATTCTCCCAAACAGCTCCCAGGCTGGAGAAGGAAACTTGGCACTGCCTGTGGGCAGAGAGGAGGGGACCCTCTCGTGGTGCCTGCAGTGCCCAGCCCCGAGCAAAGCAGTGTTTCTGTTCTGCCACCATTGCTTGGCAAAGGCTGATACCAAGGTGACTTCCAGTTTGGAAGAGGAGAATGAGCTTGCAGAGCACAGGCCTTGAAATGGTGCATTTTCTGCTGGCACTGGTTCAGACAAACCCACAAGCAAACATATTTTTTGTATAAATAAGACAGTGTGTCTCGCCAGTTAAAGCAATTCAAACATGAATGTAGCAATTTAATTGGTGCCAATTGCTGGCTCTTGGTAGCATTAAGATTTCAGTCACAGCTTCTTTCACATGGGAGCTGGGCCGGAAGGGGGAAGGCAGAGGGGCTGAGGAGCAGCACTGGCCATCCCCTGCTGCTTCAGGAGCATCACCCCTGTGCTGCCCAACCTGCCCTTCCACAGCAGGGAGAAGGGGCTGGAGAAGGTGCTCCATCTGTTTCCTGGTACATTTCCAGGGTTTAGCAATTAGTGCAGTGCCCTGATACATCCCTGCATTCTGCAACCCCTTCCTGCCCCAGCTCCTGCACCCCACAGCTTCCCACCAGCTCCATCAAATACTGGCTCTTGCTGAGCTCCAAGAAGAGTGTGAGTCAATTGCTGGATGGATAAGCAGGTGTCCCTGCAGGCATGGCCTGGGGAGGATGAGTCCATCCATGGGTGCAGGACAAACACCACACACTGCCCTGCCCTGGCTCTGCTGGCACCAGCCTTTCTGTGGGAGTTCTGTGAGCTCCCAGCTCTCTGCACAGGCTCCACACACCATGGTCCTCTGGTTCTGCAGGTTGTGGTTGCCAGGGAAGGTTGCACACACAGACCAGGGTATGCCACAGCCTGGTGTGCACCCAGGGATGCTGGAACAGCAGGGTGTGAGGGGCATCCATCACTGCACAGCTCCTGTGACCACACAGGGGGACACTGGGCCCAAGGGAGACCCCCTTGCTCAGCACATGGCCCATGCCAGCATCCCTCTGTGTCCCTGTCACAGCTGGGGCTGCTCTGTGCTCCCCGTGGTGCTGGAACGTGCTGCCCTTCCAGGAGGAGGTGTCTGAGTGCCAGCAGAACAGGACAGAGGTGAGCTGAGCTTGGGAACCCTAATTAGGCAATGGGGGAGAGGAGGAGGAGGAGGAGGGGGAGCACGACCCCTAAACCCAGCCTCGTTATGTCCAATTTGCCTGGTGGAGCGGAAGGAGCCTCCTGGAGCTGCTCCAGCCCCTCAGGAAACAATGCCCAGCCTGCACCCTCCCCCTGCAGCTCCTCTCCAAGGGATTTCTTTCCCTTGGTTAAAGTACAAACAAACAAACTCCACGAAGGGATCAGCTCCAATCCTGCCTTGCAGGGATAGGACAGACCCAGCCAAGCCCACATGGTCCCAGCTCCTTCCAGCTCTGGGTCAAAAGCAGCCCCAGCTGCCAGGGCTCCCCTGGGGCTCAGCACGGCCCCTCTGCTCCCTGACCTCTGCCACCACATCCCAGGAAGGGGCTTTGCTGGAGCCTGACACTGTGGGCAGCACTGCAACCCCATCCCATGTCCCATCACACACTCTGGACAGCACTACAACCCCATCCCACTTCCCATCACACACCAAGGAACCTTCAGGACCAGGCAGAGAAGTCCCTGCCTGGAGCCTCTGGCAGCAGCTGGACATTTGGCCAAAGCCACATCCAGCCACCATGGTCTCTTTTTGCATGGCATCACTCCCACAGCTGGAGAGCATTTCTCAATCTCAGCTTTCCTCTGGTGCTCACTGAGACAATCCTGTCTTGCTGTGCTCCTGCAGACAGGCTCAGTGCTCTCCTCTCCCTTAGGGTGTTGTTCTGAATGCCTTGAAAATCCTGTCCCAAACCCATCAAAACTGAGGCTGAAAGAGATCATGGGATCATTGTCCTGTGCCCATTCTTCCCAGCCAGAGCTTTCCCTGACGTGTGCTTTGAGACTTGTGAGGCTGAAGGAACTCAGCCTTCTGTCTTTAAGCCTACAGATATTTCCCCTAAAAGCTCTTTGCCCTCTGTGATAACTTCTCCTGTGCATGAAGACTGTGTGTCACCTTCCCACAACACCCAGTGACCAACAAGCCACACCAACCCCTCTCCCAGCCCTTAGCAGCTTCTTCTGGACTTCTCATCATCCTCACTGCTGTCCCTGAGCCCATCCACTCCATGTCCGTCCTTGCTGAAGCACCTGGAGCTGGGGAGGAGCTGCTCCCTCTTGCCTCCCTGTCTCTCTGAGCTGCCTCCAGCATCTTCCAGCACATCCCTCATGAACAGCTTGGCTTTCCTGGCACCCTGCTGCAGCCTGGTTTGTGTCCCCTACAGCCACTCTGGCTGGTTCTGGGCTCTGCTGGAGCTCCTGGGATCCTCCCACACTGCCATGCACACCCAGCTTGGTGCCACCCCAGGGTGAGAATGCGTGCTCAGCCACCAACCAGGTGGTTCATGCAGGGATTGCAGAGGACCAAGCCCACGCCAGAGCCCTGCAGCACACCACAAGATGTGCCCAGGACTGGACCATGAGCCATGGCTAACTTCTCCCAGCCTGCACTACTGCAGCTGGCCATGCTTGCTGCACACTGACCATGGCACCCCACACTGCCAGTCCTAGGCAGGGGTGCAAGGGGGGATCCAGGGACAGGGAGTTGGGTGGCTGTTGTCTCCTGGCCTGCTCTGCCTCCGTGCTCCTGAGCTGGAGGAAGGGACAGCAGCTTTAGGAAGAGAGAAGAGCCCTGTGCATGCTGCAGTTGGGTTGCTGTGACTTGGTGCTTGCCTCAAACACTGATCCCTCCTGATGCATTGACCGATTCAGGGGTGTTTCCTGGGCTCAGGGACACTGCCCAGGGCTGGTGGCTGCCACAACAGCCAGAGCACACCCAAGCTTGGGTGACATCCCTGTCAAGGAGTGACTCCAAGCTTCATGTCAGGGCTGCCAACCAGGGTAGCTGCCTGGCAGCTCCCTCCCCAAGCCAGCCTGGCCACGTCCTTGACACCAGATCACGGTGACCACATGAATCTCACTCCTTTCCCAAGAGCATGGGAGAACAAGTATCTTGTCCTGCAGGGTGCTTAGGGGGAAATGACCTCTCAGCCACCCCTCCATGCCCTCTGGGAAGCACTGGGTCTCAACATTGCTAATCCTTGTCATCAATGGGAGACCTGAAAAGATTTGGGAATGCCAAGCCTCTGCCAGCACAGGGTTTGCACACCAGACCAACTACTTTAAGCTATTTGCCCATGCTTTAGCATAAACCCCATTTGCTCTGGGACCAGGATGGAGAAGCACAACATCCCTGTCCACAACAAATCTTGTTTGCATGACTCCCAGTTGGCAGGTGAGTGCAGGAGCTGGATGCTCTGAGCCCACTGTGAGCACCAAAGCCCTGCAGGTCATGCTCACCCCTGTCCCTAGGCAGTCAGAGCCTCACTCCTGTTGGAGGCCCTCAGCTCTTGTGCTTTCAGGACAGCAAAGTAATTGCCCATATTCCTGCCTAGTAGGGTTTTACCAAGCTCTGCCCTCTCCAGTGCACAGCATTCCCAGGGACAGACCCTAGGCAGGGCTGGCAGATGTCCCTCCCCATAGCCCACAACAGAGGTGACAGGGTCCCTGGAGCAGCCTGCAGTCAGGGATGGCCATGGGTGTGTCTGGCCAGGCTGGCAGTGGGGTGACACTGCTCTGCACTCACACTCTGGAGGATATCTCACTGGCATGGCAAGCAGCTTCTTCCCCGTGCACCCTCCAGCCCTCCCACCAGCCAGGGCAAGCCCCTGATCCAGGGAGAAGCAGAGATCACCCGGGCCCCACTCCTGCTGCAGTGGGGTCCCTGCTCCCTGTCCCACAGCCACAGCATCCCCCTGCTCCTCTCAGCTGTCCCAATCCAGGACCCAGTGAGAGTTAATGCCATGTTCTTTCCCATGGGATGCCACAGAATTCAGCTGTTTCCCAGCACACACCATCTCCCCAGAGCCTGGTGGGTGTTTTGGGCTGCCAGCCCCTTGGAGGGGAGCAAAGCCCCTTCCCAGCAGCCGGGCTGGCTCAGGGACAGGAGGACAGGCTCCTTCGGGGCTGTACCAGCTCCAGCACGGCGTGTCCCATCTGGAGAGGCAGAGAAGGCGAGTCAGCCCCGGGTGGGCGACACGAGAGCTTACCTTGAGCAGGGTCCCTCCAGCTGAGTGCTGCACGTCCCAAGGGAAGGCTCCAAAATTCCTCCTTCTCCTCCTCCAAACTCTCTCTATCTGCTGCCTGCTGAGGCTGTCCCTGCCCTCCCAGCCTGCCCAGCTGGCAAGGCTTCTCCACTTAAAGGCGAAAGAGAGGGAAAGAAAGAAATGAAGTGGAAGGGAGGAGGGGAGTGAAAAAAAAATAAAATAAAATCAAAAGGAGAGGCAAGGCTGTGCCAAGGCTGGGCTGCAGCCAAGCCCCTGCTCTGCTGCTCTAGTGCATCTCACAGCGCCCTGAGCAGCCCCCGGCCCAGCTGGGAGGGGGCTCTGCCTGCTCGGAGCCGGGGCCGAGGATGTGCACGCGTGTGTGCGTGCGTGTATAAATAAAAGAGACCTCGGGAGGAGGAGAAGGGGGGAGGCTGCTTCGCCAATGAGGAGCGGAGCTCCTCCGACTTCCTCCCTCCACCCTCTGTGGGGACCCTTTGCGGAGCGCAACTCGCGATTAACGCCCGCCGGACGAGGGTGATGGGTGAAAAAAAAAAAAAAAGTTAAAAGGCGGAGAAGCCAAAGTGGCTGCAAGGAGAGGGGTGCTGTGCTGCAGGCTGCGATGAGGCGAGCGCTGAGGGCCCGGCTAAGAAGGAACAAAAGGAGCCCGGAGCAGCCCGACTATCGCCTCCTTAAACCGCAGGGAAGGAGCTGCTCTCTCCCTGTGTCTGCTTTCAATTCTGGCCTTTTCCCCTGTTTTCTTTTTCTTTTATTTTCTTTCTCTTTTTTTCCCCTCAAGCCCCCCCTCCCGTTTTCTTTTTTTTTTTTTTCCCTTTCTCAGGATATGAGGGGATGTTTAGAAAATCCACTGCCCACGCCAGCAGCTGACTCATGTTTTTATTAAAGAAGGCCTGCAGTGAACTGACTCCGTGTGCTCCCCCAGATCCTCCCTGTGCTGGGCTCTGCTGACCCTGCAGCTCCTGGGCCCTGACCCCGACTGGCCACTGCCCCTTGTGGGCCACCAACACACCCTTGCAACTCTTCTTCTTTTTTGGAAAGGGGGATAAAAGGTCTTCTGCAACTGATGCTGCAGCAGAGGGTGGGTTTGGCTGGGGATTTGGGGCTGTTGGGCAGAGAGCTGGAGAGGTGGCAGGAGTGATCACCTCAGCCATGCCATCATCTCAGATGTCCTACACCCCTACTGCCCTGGGGGGATGGAATCCAGGTGATGAACCAGCTATAAATTCTCCCAGCATCTTAAAAAGTTCCAATGAAGTTTCTGAGAAACTTTCAGTAGGCAGAACATTATCATGTGTTCAGACGGGATTTTTTTTTCAATTTGTTTTAGCACAGTAACAAGGGACAGGATGAAAACTGGCTTTTGATCCATCAGCTCTTGCCACCATTTTCATCTTTTGGATGCTAAAGGGTGGTCAGGCATTGGAACAGGCTGCAAAGGGAAGTGGTGGAATCACCATCCCTGGAACTGTTAAAAAAGATGTGGCATTGGGGACATGGTTTAGTGGTGAAGATGGCAGTAGTGGGTTGGAATCTATGATCTTACAGACCTTAACCATTCTCTGTTTCTCTCTGATCCAAACAAGAAATAGTGCAAAACTGCACTGGCTATCCTGAAAATATACCTGCCCATCTTTCTTTAATTTTCCTTTTTAAGAATTAAAAAGCCCTCTCCATAATGACAACACTGCTGAAATCTGTGTTTCTGCCTTTTTTGCAAGGCAGACTCATTCCCTCCTGCCAAGCTAGTAAATGCCTACACAATTCCACAGGGAATGATTCCCTGGCTGGGCCAGCCCAAGAGACTTGCTGCTTATCTCACATTATCTCTATGTTTTCTTTGTATCTATGGAAAACCAGAGGGGAGGTGCTCATTCTGTGCAGCTGTGGAGGCTGAGGAGAGCCAGGCTGCAGCACCCAGGTTATCCCTGTGTGCCACTCATGGCACGGGGCTGGAGTGCCACCTCTGTGCCTGGCAGCAGGACAGCTGCAGGAGGGATGCAGGCCTGGCTTGGATGGATTCCCCCAGCTCCAGACCTGGTGGTGGCCCTGTGTCAGGGGCCCTGTCACCCCCCTGTGCAGAAATGGAGCCAGTGAGCCTGAGAGCAGCTTGTGTGGGGAGCAGGAGGCAGAGGGGACATGCTGTGCACATGGCTCTTCCCAGGGCTTCTCCCAAGGGACAAAAAGATGTGTCTGGTGGGTCCATGTGTGGAGACCTAAGGGCTGCTGGGAATTGTTCAGCAGAGTAATTTCCTGGCAGTGTCCCTGCTCTGAGGACGTGACTGCTCCAGGCAGAGTGGGAAAGGGAGAAACCCCCTGGTGCAATCCTGCTGGGCCCCTTGCACTGGGGATGGGCTACCTGGGATGAGCAGGGGGTGGAAAAGCTGACACAGACCATGCTTGAGGGCAGAGCATCCTGAGCATGAAGTGGGACCTATTTCCCACTCTGTCCTTTGCAAACAGATGGCCCCAATACCCACTCCAGCCTGGGACCAGGAAGAATCTGACAAACAAAACCTCCCAGTCTGCAAAGGGCAGGATTCATTGTTTGGGGATGCTGAGAGAGCCCTGGGGAGCCCAAAGCATCCCGGCAAGCACACGTCAGCGCACTCTGAGCATCCCCAGGGAGCAGCCACAGCCGCACACTTTGTTTAGGAACAGCACGCTGGGGTTATGGCAGCTCCTGGGAAAGGCCAGCTCAGAGGAAGCACCAAAGCCAGAGGAACTCGTCTGTGCAAGTGTGTGGGTGGAGGGCAGCAGCTCTGCTGCTTTGGCCTCATCAGCCCTTCACTGCTCACCTCTATTTTTGGTGCTTCGTGGTGCTGCAGGACCCAGTGGTCCCCCTGGGGCTGGGACAGCTGTGGTGTGGGATGCCAGACCCCTCTCAGCTGAGATTTCCAGCTTCAGTGAGTATTGTTAAGTGATAATGGGGGCTTGGGGTCATGTAGTGCAGCATCTCTGGTAGGGAAACCAGCCACTGAGACAGGACATTCCAGGGTCTGCTCTGGCATCATGTGGATCAAAGCAGCTCTCCAGACTCCTGCCCCATCCCAGGCAGAGCTGGGCACCGAGAAAAGCCCATATCCCAATCCTGGTATAAAGGAGAGAGACCAGGTACCCAAGACAATGGTGGAAACCATTGTTGGACCAGCAGCAGGTACCGTGCACCAGCTGGTGACAGGCAGGTACAGGAGCAGCAGATGTTGGCCTACCCCACTTCTCTGAAGGTTTGATGAGGGCCAGATTAGCTCCAGCTTCAGTTTTTCAGAGGCTCTATCAATTCCAAGTCAGCCCAGGAATTCCAGCATTGCTCTGAAGTGGTGTCAAGCCGCAGACCACAAGAGAGGAGTGGTGGGTGCCAGGGAGCACAGCCCCACATCTGGGCAGCACATCTGGCGTGGCAGCTGCCAGCACATGCTCCTGGCTGCATCCAGCTCCTGCAGGGAGCTGCACTGGGGATTCATCCAGAATCTCTAAAGCTGTGCCCTGGTGTTCAGAGGAGCCTGTACGCTGTGTGTGTGGTCCTGCTGGGACTGGGTGGGTGACACCAATGCCCAGGGAGGAAGGGGAGGCAGACTTTGGGCTTCTTCCAAAGTGAGTGTACGCCCATAACATGATGGGGAGCATCCTGGGGACTATCCTGCAGCATTCCCTACCACTGGGAACATTCCTGCAGCACTGGAAACCCTGGCTATGGACACCACAGGGTGCCAGTGGTGCCAGGAAGTAACTCTGTGCTGTACACATGGATGGTGCTGTGTCCTTATGGGGCTGGCCCCTTCCCTACACTCCTGGGGCACTTGGAGGAGGCAGCAGCCAGAGGACGATGTTATCCCGCTGCCTTTCCCCACCTCGGGGCCATTCCGACCCCGTCCCACGCACTCCTCCTCACCCCCAGCACGAACCTTGGTATGAAATGTGCTCGGCAGAGCCCCGGGAGGCAGCGGCAGCTCCTGGGTGAATACTAATAGCGGTGCCTCCGCTCGCCCCAGACTTTCCCACACATCTGCAGCCACTTAACGTGGGAATCGTTAACCCTCTGCTTACCCCGTGCCCGAAACACAGCCAAGGAGGGAAAGCAGGATGCTCCCCACCAGAGCAGGGGGAATCACACCCCCAACCCACTGAGAGCAGGGCCCACACGGGCTGGGGAGTGATGAGGGCTGCCAGCAGTGTCCCTGTCCCCAGTGCCCTCTTCAGAGCACTCAGTTTGTGGCATTTGCATTGGCCAAGAAAGCTGATCCAGATCCCAAAGAGGATCACTGGATGGGGAGAGGGGACCTGTGTGGCAGCAGTGCTGGCACATCCATTTGGTCTGTCCTGGTCCCTCTCCCTGGGGACCAGCTCTGCAGACCCTCCTCAGCATGGGGACAAAAGTGACAGCACAGGGGCAGTTCAGGCATCTGGGGAGAACCAAAGGCCACACACGAGTCTGCAGTGGGGCTGAGGGAGATGAGGCAGGGGTTGTCCTCCGTGAGAGGGTTGCACTGATGTCTCCATTGCCAGAAAGGAGGGGTCACTCTTGGGGCATTCAGGAGCTAGGGAATGACTGAAAGGTCCTGGCTGGACTGGGATGGGAGTGGGGCCATGCAGGTCTGGGATATGCTGGTCTGAAGCTGCAGATTTGCCTTTGAGAGCAATAGGAGCTGGAGTATTGAATAGCAGCAGGAGGGGAGGTGGTGGAGGAAAAGGCTGTGGGAGAAAAGTGGACCAAGGGGAGACATCTGCTTGGCTCTCTGTGGGCATCTCCCACTCCTGCAGAAACCATGGTGGGGTTCAGAGCAAGCTGGGGGACAAGGCAGGACTTGGTTTCCCATACTGAGTGCCACCTCCAAGGGAGCAGGAGCTGATGGGATGGTGTCCCTGCTCCATCTGGGACAGCTGCGTGCAGCCTGGCCCCAGGGACCTCCCGGCCCTCCTCCTTCCAGGAGATGGCATCACTCGATCACGGATAGCAGCGCCGAGCCCCAGGGAGCAGCCAGGGAGCCCTGACTGCTCTCCCTCTCCACTTCACCTGCCTGGTTTCTACCAGGAACACCCGGTCTGCAGGACTAGGGGTGGTCCCCAGGTTGGGTGCATTTCTGGGGGTTTCTAGGATGGATGGAGGGGGTACTGCCACCTGCTCCCACCCAGCTGGGGACCCCCAGGGGCTCTGTCAGTTCCTCATCTGCTCCCCCATGGGACCCCAGTGCAGGTGGCACCCCGAGGCACTGAGGGTCCCCCTCAGCCCCCTTCAGCCCCAGCTGAGCAGCTGAGATGCTCCTTGGGGAGCCCACGAAGGGCTCCTCATCCAGCTCCTCCCCAGCATGAACTTCACCACCAGTGGTAAATGGGTCAAAGACAGGAAGAAGAGGGAAGTTACTGTTGGTGGATCTTTATGGCCTAATTGTCCTCCCCTTTGCCCACACTGAGGGAGGTCATGCCCAGCTGTCAGTGGGCACCTGACCATGCTGTGCCCTGCCCAACCTGCTCCCCTGGGGAGGATGCAGATGTGGGTTGTTGCCCCAGACCCCTGAGCCCCCCATGCCCAGCAGATGCCTGAGCCTTTGGCATTGGCCCCACAGACTGGGAAAAGGCAAGGGGGGCCTGGGCTCCCTGTCCCTGCCTTTAGGAGACAGCCAGGGGCAGGAAGAACCCCAGTCCCCAAAACTCAGCCACCCTTGGGGTGGGACCCAAGAGCC